GTGTGTGTGTGTGTGTGTGTGTGTGTGTGTGTGTGTGTGTGTCTCACCTAAACATCCTGTAATAGAATCAGACATTTCTGACTTGTGGTCTTCTTGTTGGTTCATTCTAACAAGAATGAAACATTTTTTCTTTGAATCCAGTCCAACGTTTAGCTTCTATAAAAGTATTTTATCTCATGGAGGCTAATTTTAGAGTCAACATCAGTCTGATTCAGACTAAAAGTGTGAATGCTGAGTCAGCGGTGCTATTGTTTTACTCTATAGTTTCTTTCATGGGGATTTTCAATGAAACTACTTCCACATAATATATGACGTTTTAACCGTCTATATATCAAATTATTCAGCTCAGTGTGACATGACCTCAAGTCTTTTTTACTTCGTTTATACTTATATTTATTTTATATTTATTTTAAATAAAATAAAATCCCTTGTAGAAAAGCAATAAATAAATAAATAAATAAATAAATAAATAAATAAATAAATAAATAAATCTCCATTGCTATTGGTCATAAATGTGATATGTTGCTGCCATCAAATATAAAACGACCTGATTTTTCATAAAAACAATAGTTTATTAGTTTCAGCATGGATATTTTTACTTTACATTGTTAAAATTATTATTTTTTTGGTTTGCAAGTTATCACACTCTGTTTTTATTTACAGTTCAACACAACATCCTGACTGTTTTTAATTGCTCAGCCAATAATTTTTTTTCAGACACTTCCAGTAAGGTATCCCCAGTGGTTGATGAGATATTTTGCTAACAGACATAAAGACTTTTGTCAGTGATAATAGTGAGAGAACAGGTAAAAATGTTATGATGCTGGAGATGTTTGGATCTTTAAATGTAGAACTACTCCTCTGCTGCTTCTGTAAGACATCACTACGTCATTACCATGGGAACAGTGACATTATGTAGTGTAAAAGCCACCGATGATGCTTGGTACGCACCACACATACAGAGTCCGTGTGAAGTCACATGTTGGTTCTGACAGAAACACATCCGTGTGGAAGGACCTTAGCAGAATGTTGCACAATGAGAGCTGCAGACAGGGCTGCAGCAGTCGACTGAGCTGCTGTGGATGTGGAGCCGGTGCGTGGGTGAAAGGCACTGCTGATACTGCAGCTGGTCCTTTCCCCGCATTCTCTTTTTATAGCCAAACTGCTCATTTGTGTCTGTTTGACGTCAGAGGGAGAGGAGACATTTAGCTCAGTGGATGGATTCAGTCTCTTCTACTCAGTGATTCTAATAATTCCTCTGAAATCACTCACTTCATTCTCCTGTTGCTTCTTTTCATTTTCACTCTCCATCTCAAGACAAAAGACCTAAGATGTCTTTCTGTGTGTTCCTTCGTCTGTTAGAAAAATATCTCATGAACCACTGGACATGCACTGTTATGGAACTTTCAGAAAACAATAATTGGATGAACATCTACAGCTGAAGAACATTTAGAGACTATCGTTAAAACTGTTATAAACTGTTGTGTTTTTTGATGGGAAAAAACAGGCACAGGCATCCACATATTTACCTTTCTGACTTTGGCATTGGCCAATAAGAATATACTTTACCAATAATGCTGAAATTCTACAATTGCTTTTAAAAGTCCAAACCCCAAGTTTTTCTGGGGTTTTCAGGGACTGTGATGGAGGACCAAGACCTCAACAGATCTTTGAGTTCCCACTTTGAGTCATTTAAAACTTACAGCTTGAACAACAACAACAACGTTCTACAAGGTTTACAGGCTTCATAAAACAAATCTGTATTCTATTATAAACTGATAGAATATCTTTAATAGCTCTGGTCAGGGTTACTTAAAATAGTTTAATATTATGTATTATCCAACACACATTCTGTGCGCTAACAGTTGAAAAATAGCTTTGTTTAATATTTTGCACCTATAGTAAGTTCCTTCAGTCATGAAACTCTGAAAAGATCTGACATTTTAAAACTTTTAGGAAATAATCATTCAATGCAGCCCAATTTAAGTTTTAGATTTGACATATACTGTATTTAAATACATTTTGATGTGGTAGTGGCTGAAAGTCATTCACAGCGCATACTCTGAATGTTACATCTGACAGTATTACACAGCATTCTTATAGCTATTATTTTAAAGGTTTGACTAAAACAGCTACAGCTCTATAGCTTTTCATCATAAGATGATCCCAGTCTAAAACTATGACCTGATAAGCAGCAGGCAGTAAACAATCTTCCAAAGAATGCTAGGCCCTTTTTTAAGAGTTACTAAAAATTTTCAATTGATTTGTTTATTTGTACTGAAATAATTTGACAAACATGTATAAGATTTTCTTACACAGAAGGTCTTAGTTAATGAAAAAGCCTGAAGTGCAGAAAGAGGGAACATGTGAGGTCAGATCCACACAGATCGACAGTCTGAGCTTCATCTGTACAAGATGAGATTGTTTGGGAGAACTAAATTACTGTGTGCAAAACAGATGCTGGAATTAGCCAGAGAGAAATCTCTGAACATCCTGTTCTGTGCTAATTAACCAGCAGTGACTGCAGTGTGTTGGATGGTTGGATGAATGGATGGATGGATGACGGATGGATAAATGGATGGTTGTATGGTTGGGTGGATGATTGGCTGGATGGTTGTTTGGTCATTTGGATGGATGGATGGATGGATGGATAGATGGATGATGATGATGGATGGATGGATGAATAAATGGATAATTGGATAGATGGATGGTTGTATGGTTGTTTGGTCGTTTTGATGGATGGATGATGAATGGATGGATGGATGGATAGATGGATGGATAGATGGACGGATGGATAAATGGGTGGATGGATGGATGGATGGATGGATGATGGATGGTTGGTTGGTTGGTTGGATAGATGAATGGTTGGTTGGATGGATGGATGAATGGTTGGTTGGATAGATGAATGGTTGGTTGGATGGATGGATGGATAGATAGATGGATGTTGGTTAAATTGTGATTTAAAATATTATGGTTCATCTAATTTTGTGATTAATGCTGTTGATCTGTGTTTATCTACTTTAACTGAATTCATGGCTTGTTGATGGGAATGTTGTGTGTAAAAACACAGATGTGAATGCTTATCTTTGTAATTTGTTTATTTAGCTTGTAGAGTAGAGTTACTTTTACGACCCGCTATCAGACAGGTGGGTTGGGGTAAAGGAACTGGAGATCCTGTGAAGAACAGGAAATTGCATGGTCGTAAACAGGACGACACATTGAAGGGAACACTTTAAAAACCTGACTGCTGTACAGAAATTCAGTTCATGCTACTGACAACTGTATGTAAGTACCTTGTCTTTATTTTGGACTCCTTGCAAGTAAAAGAGAGCTCAACCAGATTTGCTGCTTGGTCGTCATTCCTTATGTCTTGATAATTAATTTATCCAACAATGGATGGACGGATGGATGGATAGTTGTATGGATGATTGGTTGGTGGTTGTTTGGATGGATGGATGGATGGATGGATGGATGGATGGATGGATGGATGGATGGATGGATGGATGGATGG